CGAAGGGTGCAGCCCCCAGCTGCCGTCTGGTAGCCGTTTAACAATTTGATCTGCGGTAGGACAGCGTGTTGGGGAAAGGAATGGTAGAGCCGCCGCATGGAAGCGTGTTTGTTGTAACAAACCAGTTCTTAATCGTTCCTTCTTAATTCCTCTGTGCAGCCTGGCTGAGCGGGGCTAGTTGAGAGCGGGAGATGTCAACTCCCCCTCTAGCTGGGGCTGGAATGCCTTGGTAGCCGTTTAACAATTTGATCTGCGGTAGGACAGCGTGTTGGGGAAAGGAATGGTAGAGCCGCCGCATGGAAGCGTGTTTGTTGTAACAAACCAGTTCTTAATCGTTCCTTCTTAATTCCTCTGTGCAGCCTGGCTGAGCGGGGCTAGTTGAGAGCGGGAGATGTCAACTCCCCCTCTAGCTGGGGCTGGAATGCCTCCCGGCGCTTTCTCAGGGACACAGGCTCAAGCAGCTAGGGAGGTAAATACAGCTTCACTCTGTCGTATCGGCCAAGAGACCGTGCAGGATATTGTGTTTCGAACCATGGAAATCTTCCAGTTGCTGAGGAATATGCAGGTGAGAAATAAGTGTTTGGGTTTTTTTTTTCTTTTTGTGGGCCTAAGTTCTTTTCCTGTGTACGCACTACCAACTGCCTATATGCTTGGAGGTAGTTTAGGATATTTAAATGCATAGCTTGATCAAACTGCTTTGAAAAGGTGGATTGGGCGCTGAAGTGTGTATACCACTATTAATACATTTGGTTCCTCCTGTGTATTAAGTGAACAATGAAAACACGGAGAAGAACTGACTTGTTCACAATTGATACAGTCTGAGTACACTTAGTGTTTTCATCTAAGAGTAATTGAGTGTGTTTATGTGCCATTTGTCCTTCTATATCCTTATTATCCCCTGGAGAATAATTTTAGAGGCATTTTTCATAAATCTTTTTCTGTAATAAAATTTTCCACTGAAATCTTGTGACGTTCTTTCTGTTACCAGAGTGGAAATAATCTTTATTTGAGGCTACTTGCTGAGAAAACATACAAGCTTGGGTCGTTTCTCCATTGAGAGTAGATGTGCGTTCAGCCTGAAAGACAAACATAGAAATAATCACTCTTGTTCACTATGTAGTTTCCCTTCTATAGAAGTTTCCTATTGCGGTTATTTTAGCCATAGACGTATGTACTTAAGAGTTTTACTAAATCACTTTGAATATGAGTTTGAATTGAGACCTAGGGATTGAGACATATAATAGTAATAACAGGTTGAAGTAGTGTCCATTTTGAAGCATTTTGAAGATGTTGACTGAAAGTTACAGGGACATTGACAATGGCCAAAATATAAAATACGTGAAGGTGTCTGACAGCAGTGATTTGGCGCATTGGATGAGCACATCAGATGAGCAGACAAGATTCAGAGTTTTACTGAGAAAGAAAATATCACAAATTTCAGTGACTTCTGTGGAGATAGTGTGATTATCTTATTTTACAATGTACAAAGAAACCTTTGATTTATTTTAGTTTATTTTGTTGCTGTGGGAGAAACTGTAAATTAATACTGTTAATGTTTTTGCATTTTGGCTTTCTAAGTTACCGAATGGTGTTACTTATCATACTGGGACGTATCAAGACAGACTGGGAAAGCTGCAGGAACATCTCCGGCAGCTATCAATACTCTTCAGAAAATTGAGATTAGTCTATGACAAATGCAATGAAAACTGTGCAGGACTTGATCCTGTTCCCATAGAAGTAAGTATCTTTATTTTATATATAAATTACAAATCAGAATCATCACTCTCTGTTTCGCGTACCACCCGTTCTCCTCAACTGCACCAGGGAGCCATAATGAACATTTTAAAATGAGACTGAAATTCTTCATT